AATTTGAATAGACGATGAAACGCCCTTTCTTTAGATTAGGCATTTGCTCTATAGGGCTACTTCTATAGTAATCTATATAATACCTTGTAAAATAATGAAGAAGAAAAGATGGCGACATGATGATTTGGTAGGGTAAAACTTAAAGACACTATCACTTTCTAGGTATTTTGTATAGTAAAATAATACTAATTACATACTAAAAACTACAATGGACTCTACTTTTAGTCCTTTTACTACATCTAGGAAAATAAATTGCAAGCTTAAATCGCATATAAAGTAAATTCAAAGGCCATCAATTCTAATAAAGTCACCGCTCTCCTTTAAGCTTGTCCTATGGTCCTGATCAAGAAATGATGTATTCGGGTGTGGCTTTATACATTCTTATAAGCACGAGATGGAAAATAAATTAGAAGAATTACTACATATCTGAAATTAATGCAAGTTTAATCCCTCTGTCACTCAATTGTCAGTAGATTGCAGGTAGGCAAGTGGCATAGCTAGCCGAGATGATGCTATCTACTTTTACCCTAACCTTCATTTCAGGCGTCAATGAAATAACATTTAAATAACATTTTAAAATCTAAAATAAGCTCAAGTTAAACAAATTTCTACTGCACATAATCGCTAAACAATTTTAAAATCTCACCTTCGCAGTCATTATATTGTCTCTATCTATGACTGAAAGAACCTAGGAGAAATAGGATTAAATGCTAAAATGAACTTAATCTAAACCTACCTATTACGAAGGCACTTATCGATTTTAAGCTTTGCATAATAGATAAAAAACATAGAATGTGACGTAAATGAGGATAAAAAAGGAACTTCTATGTCTAATTCCTGTTCACGATAAAAAGCAAACAAGCTAGCAACAAGTGGAAGGAAATCCTAATTTCCTTCGCATTCTTTGAAGTTTGCAATTTGAAGTGAAATGAGATGTTCAAGGGGCAATAGAGGTATGGTAACATGATGCCAGTAATTGTAGAATAATATCTATGATGAAATGAAAATCAATCAGTAGCTATAATGCACTTAAATCTTATCTAGACCGTCTAGCTATAGAAAGAGATGTTTGTCAATACAGAAGCTGCAGCTAGGCCAATTTTGGGATTAAAATGGGGCAAAAGCAGATTGAATACGTTAACTGTTATGTCAAAATTTAATATTGTATAGTCTGTTTACTAAAGGAATCGCTATTTGATGGCAAGGCAAAGTAGAATCTGCTAATAAAATAACTCGTAGTGATATGGCAATAAACCTCCAAAGCAAGAAACTCTGGGGAACTAGATCGTCGGTTAAAGGAAAATAATGTATTACCTTACTTGCTCAAAAGACTCGATCAATTTCAGCTTAGCAATACTCGCCATTTGAGTACGAAATATAAACGGCTAGTACGAAATTAATAATACAGATGAGACTAATAATAATCAATAGTAAGGAATAAAGCGACTTTAATGTACTTTTTTCTGAAATCTAAATTAAAAACTTTTATTCACAACGACGGCGATTTCTTGAAATCAAAAAATTAGTCAGAATGAAGGAAGTAAAACTGAGAAGCACTAGGAAATAATAAATCATAGCGAAAATGTAATTAAAATAAGGCTTACTATTGCTATAATGAATTAATTGCTGAATGCATCTGCATACTATTTACATCGAAGAATTTCAACTTTCTAATAACGCCAAAAATTTCAGCTCATCTACCTCTGTGCTAGTTTCCTATCGAACTAAACTTTTTAAATTAAGTTTCAGAGTAAAGTTATCAGTGTTATAGGTTATAGTCATGTTAATACCACAGCTATATTTCATACTGTAAAAATTTATATGGTATCCTGTTCCATTTCACAAAACAGTATTAATATACCCGACTTAAAGCAATAAATCTAGAATAGTCAATTACTTCATGAACTTTAATTTTTACCTGAAATTACAATAATTGATAAATTTAGAGTTAATTTACATATAGCATATCATTACAAGCACGAATTAA